GATCGAGAACGGATTCCAGCGGGCGAGCCGGCAGCAGGGCAGCGGTGAGGAAGTGGCCTGACTGAATGAGTGATGGAGACGCAGCAGAAGGCTCTACGCGATGGGGCACGAAGGAATACGGGGCGATGAGATACTGTTGCTGGCTCTCTGTGTTCAGGGGTCTCAAGAACCTGTACCCCAAAGCCACGATGTCCTCACTGGCTCCATTCTGGGCCATCTGATCTGTCTGCACAGCCCTGGTTACGCTGGTAACTCAGGTAGAGACTATTTCTTGAATGACAATTTTTCAGGAAACGGGATGAAAATTGTTTCCCTTAAACTAATGGTCCAACAATCCAATTTCGCTTTGCACTACAGGAGCACAATTTCTCTGCCACGTGGACCTGATTCAGCCTTCAGAGAGACTGGGCCAGTGTGTCGCGGGTGATACCTGCGTGCCAGACACATCCCGTCCCCATGACTCATGTGAACCGCTCCAGAGGAAGGCTGGGTCACAGGAACCCGCATGCGATTTACTGCTGACTTTGGCGAGAGTGAGACATTGCTCAGCTCCTCGGGGTGTAGAAACGCGCCCTCATGGGGAGTAAGCGGGAAGAGGGGCTCACCCGCTCAGAATGGAGCGAAGGCAAAGAGTGGCAGATGGAGAAAGACCCCAGCAGGAAGGGGAGGCCCAGGCAAAGGAGGGGGTGCTCCCGGTGGACAAGACGAGGAGTTCCCGGCCTCCTTTTTTCCCCTAGTTTTTATTTTTAATTTAACACATTCTTACAGAAAAAAATGATTACTTCCCCCATCTCACACACACACACACACACACACACACGCCTCTTCTCAATTTCTAAGGGTAACCACGGTCTGAGTCCTTCCACACACTTTCTGTGCATAATCAGATATGTATGTGTCTATGTCTTTTTAAAAAAGCACTTGTGTGGCATCATCATGCATAGTTTTGCTTTTCTCAGTTAATGATACGCCTTGGATATTCTTCTCTGCTATCGCTGCCTCCTCCTTTTTCATGACTGCATAGTATTCTGGGATGAGCCTGCACCATAATTTATTTAGCACATCTCCTATTGGTGGCATTTGGGTTGGTAACAATTTTTCACCATTACAGATAATTAGCAATGAAAATCCTTGATGGTTTTTCAAGCAGGCTCTTGAGCACATGTGTGGGTTCTCCTATACGAGGATCTATTCCTCTAAGCAGATTATCCAGCTTTACTTCACAACAGATTGAGGTCTAGTCCCTGACCAGGCAGTGTAATACTTTAAATTAGTTATTTGCCTACTGAGCCAGAGCAAATGGAAATGTACGCTCAGCACAGCATTCTCTCCTCTTAGAATCCAGTCTTTCGGAACTGGACAGCTTACTGCCCCAAACGACTCATGTTCAGATGACCCTGGACCATTTACAAGGTACTTTGTCACATTCTGGCTCACCTGATCCTCTTATTGATTCTTCAGAGTAGCTATCATTAGCATCACTGTTTTACAGATGAAGAAACTGAGGCTCAGAGAGGAGGAGACATCTGCCTAAGGTCACACAGCTCATAAGTATGAGCTTATGACAGAAACCAAAGACAGAGCTGATGAAATCCTGCCTTCTTTCTAAATCCATGATACAGGCTGTATCATGCGGCCTCATGAGAAGAGCTTTAGGGTAGACAGTTAGCTGAAAAGGCAGGTGAAATAAACATCTGTCTCCATGCCTGAGTCACAGGACACATTAGTTTCCTGTGGCTGCTGTAACAAATTACCACAAACTTAGAACAACACAAATTTATTGTCTTCCAGTTCTAGAGGTCGGAAGTCCAAAATCAGTCTCACTAGGCTAAAATGAAGGTGTCAGCAGGCCTGTGCTCCTCACAGAGGTTCTAGGGGAAAACCCACTCCTGACCTTTCCCAGCTTCTAGAGACTGCCCACGTTCTTCGGCTCATGGCCCCCCCCAGCAATCGCATCACCCTGACCTCCACACATCTTCACTGACTCTGACCGTCCTGCCTCCTTGCAAGAACCCTTGTGACTACATTAGGTCCACCAGGATAATCTCCCCATCTCAAGATCCTTTACTTACTTCCATCTGCAAAGTTCTTTTTGCCATATCCACAAATTCTGGGGATGAGAACGTGGATATCTTCGGGCAGCCTTTATTCTGCCTACCATAGGGGGTTCCTAGCATAGCAGTTAAGAGTGAGGGTATACCTCGGTTCAAATCCTGGCTCTACATTTTGCTGGCAGAGCCAGATACATATCTTCTCTGAGTCTTAGTTAGACTGAGCTGAAAGAACAGAAATAATAGAATCTTCCTTCTAAGTCTGTTGTGAGGATTGACGAGCACAATGTTTGCAGAGCACTCGAAACACAGGGCTCAGTGAATGGTTAACTGTCATCTTCCCCCTGCCTATTATGGTAAAGGGTAACAGAAATTCCACCATTCACGATTTATTCCTTTGGCTCTTTCTCCCACCTCTCAGGCCCTTGTCAGCTGACACTTAGTGGGATAAGGCAGTTAAATTAAGTCAGGATCCTCAATGGGACACAGAGAACCTGGAAGATTCAGAGGAACTAACCACGTAGAGGGAGAGGGCTCTGAAGTGGAGGATGACGAGGAGAATCATGCTTCTTTTGCCAGCTTCTCAGTTTTGCCCGTGGCTCAGCTTTGGCTGACAATTTCTCCAGCCCCTCCCCCGATTAGCCAGGGCGAGCCTGCCTGAAAGGAACCCTCCGAAGATGATGTTCTCAGATAGACGAGACCTGCTCTGTTGGTTCTGCAGCAGAGCGGGGCAGCTCTGGTGTTGGATCCTGGCGTGGAAAAGTACTGACACTCTGCCTCCAGGTAGGAGCTGGGGCAGCTGTCTAAAATGATCCTCCACAGTCCGGGCCTCGCCAAAGTTGGTCTCGCAGAGTGAAATGAAAACCAGATTCCTGGTCTTATCGGAGAGCTATGTGACTGGTTCCCATCACTCTGCGGGAGCCTGGAAAGTTCCCAAACTCACTGTCGGGGATGGATACACACAGCTCTCAAATGGGAGCATGTTATCCCGGGTACCTGCCTAGACAAAGGGTTCTCCCCATTCGCTGAAATAATGTTATTATTAGGGGCTTTCATTTATCCAGCAAATATTTATTAAGCACTTCCAGGGGGCCAGGAAAGTGGGCAGGGCACAGGGGTCCCTGTGCTCAGGAGAGCAGGAGGCAGATTTGTAGGGAATTACATCACTGTGCAGAGAGTGGGCCAAAGGTGACTTCTTCCTGAACGGCAGACAGGAGAAGCGGAGAATCTTGTCTCAGGGTAGAGAACATGTGCAGACTGACAAGGAATTATTCTGTAGCAGGGAGAGGGAGCACAGGCTCTGGAGCTAACCAACTTGGGTCTCACTCCTGAACCTTCCCAGCTGCGTGACCTGGGGCAAATGACCTCGCCTCCTTAAGCCTCAGCTTTCTCTTCTGTAAAGTGAGCATAACCAAAACTGCCTCGGGGTTGTTATGAGGGTTATGTGAGGTGGTGCAAGGGAAGTGGGCAGCAACCTGTGCTTGGTCCATAGCAAGGATGTGGGGAGTAGCAGCTGTTAGACCCATGCAGACTCACTCTATTTTCCCCCAAATCACAAAACAGCCCAAATTTGTCCTTTTGTGGACACCATGGTCCGTTCAGCTGTTCCTGTGCTTGTTAAGAAGCAACAATGGGAAAAAATACCCGCGTGTGGCAACTCTGTAGATACACACTCGTGGGGACCAAGTGTACCCACGAATTCAGCAGTTTGCAAGTGAACTTGATTGCAGTTACCACCAGGGTGTCTGTTTTCTGTCCTGGACAGGGCGCGTTCCCAGGAGGAGGCGCCTTCTGTCCTCAGCTAGATTCTCTGACACCCGGCCAGCTGCCTATCAGCTTTTCCCAGGGTTTGAACTTCAAAGGGCTGGACACTCATCCGAGAAAGGGACCCCGGCCTGACCTCTCTTGGAATTCAAAACAATGGAAGCTTGAGAGAGGAGGCGGGCTACCTTCTCCCTCTGCCTTTAGAATCCCGGTTTTCCGCGGTCTGCCTGAGACCAGCCCACCCAAGTTCCGGCGCCTCGGCGGCACGATCCCAGGCAGAGGCAGAGCCGCAGGCAAGAGACGCTCTTGTCCAGCTGGGCTTCACCAGCCCCAGAGCCAGGCCTCGGGCAGCAGCTTCCGGGCGCTGAGCAGAGGCGGGCCACCCGCCTGCCACCTGGTCGGCAGGACGACAATCGGTGCTTCGTTGGGAAAGTTATCTGCAAAGCTGGAAATGACCCCCCAGCAGGGGAGGCTTATGGGCCAGGGAACCCCGGTCCTGTGCATGGACGCGGGCTCCCGGAAGGGGCTCCACCCCGGCCGCGGCCCTGGCGTGCGGCCCAGAGGGCGCCCAGGGGACCGGGAGAGGGTAGGAACAGGGCCGAGGGCATGAGAAGACTTGCTTTTTAAACACTCGCTTCCTCCTTTCCTACCTCCGCCCGTCAGTCACCTCGCAGGGCACCAGCCCTGGGCGGAGCAGGCGGACCCCAGCGCCCCGAACCCGCCCGGGGGTGGAGAGGGAGGCGGGGGCCTTCCCAGGAAGAGGGGAAGAGACAGGCGCACGGGCGGCCAGGTGAGCGCTCGGCCAGGTAAAGGGGCGGCGCTCGGGTCCGGGTGCCGAGCCTCGGCTCTCGCGCCTGATCGGGCAGGGAGGGGCGTCTCCCAGCTCAACTTAACCCGTAAATACCCAGGACTCCCGGCTGAGACACCTGCCCCAAGTCCCCGCCCCGACGCACCCAATTCCGCGGCCCCTGGAGAGGGAGAGGTCAGGGATCTATCTGTCCCCGACCCCGGCTTAGCCAGCTCCGTGTGACAGGGTAAGAAGGAGGACTGGGGCCAGCGCCCCGCCCCAGCCGACGCGAGGGAGTGGGTGCCGGCCCCCGCAGCTCGGGTCGCGCGCCCCGGGCCTCCGAGCGGCGCGGAGGGCGGGGAGGGAGGGTCTACCGGTGGGCGGCGCCTCTCCCCGCTGGAGGCAGCTCCCGGCCGGCGCCGCCCTCTGCCTCTCGCCGTCACTCCCTCCCGCACGCCGGCGCTCCAAGGCCGCGCTTCCTGCGTCCGCATCCCGGTCTCCGAGCGCGCGGCGCGCCGTCTCCGCCGCCGCCTCCCTCGACCGAGATTCCCCCGAGGCCCCAGCCCCGCGATCGCGCCAGCCCCGGAGGAGGCAGCCCGAGGGGGCCGGGGTCACGGAGCCCTCAGCCCCCGGCTACCTGACCGAGACCGAGCTGGGCTCGCCGCCGCCCGGGTGAGTCTGCGCCGCTGCTCCTTCCGCCCCGCCGCGCCCCGCGGACTGACTGTTGTTGGAGGGGAGTCGAGGGCTGTGTGGGTCTGTCCGTGCGCCCGTCTGAAGCTTCCTGCCTGGGGTCGGCTGCCGGGAGGACTCGGTACCCGTACCCTCTGGAGCCGCGCCCCGCCAGTGCGGGACACCCCCCGTCTCCCGGCTATCACGCTGGGGCCAGCTGGCCTCGGCTGGGGGGATGGCAGCCGGCTCCGGGGCCCGCTGTCGGCGAGGACAGGTGTTTCGAACCCTCGGCCAAAGAGGCACCTTCCACCGGTGCTTAGAGCAGAACTTGCCAGTCGGTCCCCGGAAACCACCCTGGCGCTGCCCGCGGGAGCCCCCCGCCTCCATCCTCTCCTCCTTCCTGGTAATCGAGGCTTTTTACGGATTTAGATTAGTGTGTGTGTGTGTGTGTGTATGTTTTACGTACTAGGAACAAAAGAGTGAGGAGTTGGGCGTGAGCAAAGTGGGGGTGAAACTGAGCACAGGGCAAATACTCAGAGTCCCTCACGTCTCTAGTCTGCGCCCTGGCGGGAAGCGTGCGCCCCGGGAGCGCTGAGTCTGGTTGAGAGGGATGGCCGCTTTCAGGAGGAAATCTTTCCTAACCGAGGGGCGAGGGACGTCCGCGCGGTTTCCCCAGCCCGGCGCAGGCCCTTCCTGGCCGGTGGCAGCCGCCGCGGGGCACCGGCGCAGCGCTGGGACGAGCCTGTGCGGCCAGGACCCGGGGCCTCCCTGGCAGCGCGGGTGGTCCCGGGCTTGGAAACAGCGGCTCCGCGGGAGCGGGGTGGGCGGGGCCGCAGAGGTTGCTCCCTACAGCTGCCTTCTGGCTTTTGTTTTGAGTGGGTCGCTTCGAGCATAGCTCCCTTGTGAAAGATGGGCTCTGGGACGTGCGAACGGCTTTCACACTTTGGAGATTTGTCACCTAAAGATCTCGACCCAAGTGACAGGGCCAAATGGAATCGGGATGTTCCCTCCTAACATCGCCCTCCCCAGCCTGGGAGGAAGGCAGAAGAGAGAGGAAGGGGAGGAGGCTGGCGGCCATGTATTCCTCACCACGACCTCCTCAGCTAGTTCCCTGATGAGGGCTGGCCCCAGGGACACAGGGCCCAGGGGCCTCCGGGGGCTGCAGCCTAGTGAGGGAGTCAGAGGTTGTAAGTGACAAGTGTTGCAGAGTGTTGGCCCTGTAGTCACGGCCCACCACTCGTTGGCTGTGTGACCACGGTGGACAGGCACTTGGCCTCTCTGAACCTCACTTTCTTCGTCGGTATGATGGGAATGATAACCCCCTGGGGCGGAGTGGGGCCTCCATGCCTAGCAATAGCAAGTATCTGTAGTAAGTTCTGTTCCAGGGGGAGAACAGAAGAAAGAAAAGAACTCAGACTGAGGCCAGCCAGGAGGTCCTGCTGAGAAAAGAGAGCTGGAATATTAAACAGGGACATAGAGTCCCTGGGGGGATGGGGGAGGTGCTCAGGGAGTGGGGGGGGGGGTGGGGAGAAGTGGGAGTGGAGGTCTGGAATGAGCTGGACTGGAAAGGCGGGTGCGGTCAGCTGCAGGTGGGACTCTGGAGTAGGCAGATGTTGACTGAGTGCCTGCTGTGGGCCAGGCAGTGTTCCCTGTGCTCAGTATAGGCCACTGAACTAGAAAGATAAAGAGACAGATTCCATTCAAGCTCTTGAAGCAGAGCAGTCATTTGATCCTCTTGACCCTGAGGAAGGTCACAGTGAGTTTGGAGAAGGGTGCTAGGAGAGGGGAGGTTGCTCTGTGGGTTGGGGGCAGTGGGAATGAAAATGGGGGCTGCATCGGAGCCCCTGCAAAGGAGACAGGGATTAACATGTGGTCTCCATGTGTGGCTACTGGTCAAAGGTGAGATTGTGGATTCGATGTGCGGCCAAGCTGCTGGCCTGTCTTGATCCAGAGAGCAGTGGGCGTGCCAGGGACCTTGGTGGGGCCCAGGCCCCTCCAGGGGTGCTTTCCGGCCCCTTGGCTGCAGAAGTCACAAGGCCCAGGAGTTTGTCTGTGTAAGGAACGGCAGAATGGGAGGTGGACCCAGCGTCCCCTCTCCTGTTGTTTGCACTGGGCAGCCCGCCGCTTCTGGGGCTCCTGTTGTACTGGGGCACAGTGCTGGTCAGTGTCCTCCCCTCCCTCTGGGGGGCTGGCAGTCGACTCCTCAGAACCCTCGGCTGGAGCCTGAGGAGCCTAGCTCTGGGCTTCTCTGCCCCCAGCTCCAAATTGAGGTGGAGTTCCAGGGACTGAGAAGAGTTTTCTCCCTAAGTGCCAGGAAAGTTCCAGAAGCTCAGCTGCCTTCTGACTGGGGATGTGGGGAAGGGTCTGCTTCTGGCTGCTGGCTTTTGCTTTCACTTTTGTTGTGTCTGCTCTGATGTTTGGAGGAGTCCTTCTCACGATTGACGGCTGTAAGGGTGTCGTCCATGCTGTAAGTCTCCCCGGGCTTGGAGGTGGACCGCGCATGGCCTTTCACCTGCCACAGGAGGTGAAAGGAGGACCCCAGAATGTCTCTCTGGCGGAGCGGACCAGTCTCATTGGCAAATGAAACTCAGAGAGGGGAAGGGACTTGCCCACGGGCACACAGCAAGTCTGCAGCAGAACGGGGACCGGGACCCAGCCCTCCTGGCCCCTCTAGGGTCCTCTGCATTGTCCCAGGAGGCCTGGCCACGTTCAGGTCGGACACCTGTTTTAGGCCCCAGTTGAGTCCAGGTTTGGTGGTTTCTCAACATCTCAGTCTTGCCGGCTGCTTCGTAGAGTGTTGCCCCTCCCCAGCCTAGACAGCTGGCCTGGCTTGGCCTGGCAGTGTTTTTTTTCCTCCCTCCTCCTAGATGGAGCCTTTGGTGCCCTGGCTGTTTCACCTGGGAACTTTGGCTCCCTAAAGAAACAGGTCCTTTGTTTGGTTTTTCCTGCTTCAGGCGCCACTGCCCTGCCCCTCCCAGACAGCCCCAAGACACAGCCGGAGGTGGCTCTCTGAGGGTCTCTGCTGGGCTCTTCCTCTCGCTGAGACTCCACCCTCCCCTGAGCCCCAGCCTGGATCTCCAGACCCCTGGGTTGGCCCTGGCCTGCTGGCCGGTGTTGTTTACTCGGGCCGGGCCGCTGCCGGTCTCCTGTTCTCCCTTGCCCGAGATTGATCAGACTCAGCAGTCCTCAAACCCGAATGTGGATCCCTTTAGCTCGTAGGATGTTGCAGCCAGAAGGGACCTTCGCCATCAGAAAGTCCGATCTGCTTATTTTACAAATGGGGAAACCGAGGCCCAGGGAAGGGAAGGGGCGTGCCTGAGATCCGAACTAGGACTAGACCCCAAGGTTCCCACATTCTGTCTGGAATGATTTTGAGGATAGTTCTTGAAAAAAATAAAAAGAGCTCTCAGCCCATCCAAGAGCCCCTTTGCCCGGCACTCCCCGCTCCAGGTGTTCTGGGGGTATCCACAGTGACACGTCCAGCGGGTGTAAATGCTCAGGCCCCTGGAAGATGAGGGGTACACCATAATGGGTATATATCTGGACATCTTTAGTTCCTGTCTGCTCAAAGTGGCATCAGCGCTGGGGAGTAAGGTGGTGATTAAGCTCACTGCTGCTTCCTTAACCATGCTTTACACCGTCCCCCTGGGTGGACGGGCTTTTAAAGTTGTTTTCTTCCCTGGATTGCCAAAGAAGTCCATGTTCTTTGTAGAAAACGTGGAAGGAAAACATCACGATATGCAGGCAGCCACTGTTAATATCATGGTGTTTTTTTCGGATTTTTTTGTTTGTTTGCTTGCTCTGCTGTTTCATATCCTGGCTTTTCAATTCATCCTCGTAACGTGTATTTTCCCCGTGTGACAGCTTTTTTACACCGGTTCTAACCTGTCAGTCTCACTTGCTTTTACCTTCTGATGGCTGGAAAGTACCAGGCGGCCGGCTTTCTGCATTGGCTCCTTCGGAACGCTCCGTGGCCAGAATCCTGTAATGCTATGCAAATTATTCACCACCGCGCGACTTAGGGGACCATTTCTCTGCATCATGGGTGTTTGGGAAAGGGCTTTGTTTACAGAATCTAAATCAAAAACCGATTCTCAGTGAGCCTCTTAGAAATGGAGGCGGTCAGCCATCTGGGTAGGATTATCCAGAGAGGGCAGAAAGCTTTGTGTCTTCTCGTTTTGGCTGTGTTAGTTTTAACCCAGCCAAGTGCTCCCACCCCACTGTCACCACCCCTTGCCCCAGATCTCTCCGGGATTAGGCGTTGGGGTGGCGAGTGCGCGTCCCTAGAAAAATCAGTATTTGGCTCACTCGTCTCCAAGGCCTGCCCCTTGGCGAGCAGGTGTTCCCATGGCAAAGATGTGCAGAGAATTTACCTCGTCAGGTGACGAGGTCGGTCACTCCACCTTGGGGACTTCCTTGGTACCTCTCATCCTCTAACAGGAGCCCAGCTTTGTTAAGGCCCCAGAAATTGTCAATGGTAGAAGCGATCTCGGAGGTTCCCTAGGCTGATGTTTACCGACTGTGGGCAGCGACTTATTAGCAAGTTTTGAAATCAGTTTAGTGGTTTTCCACTGGCTTTCTTAAAGTGAAGTAGAAGAAAGTAGATTTGCATCTCTTGTCGTGAGAAATATTCTTTAGTTAAACTTCGTCTCGGGTCTCTGTATGTGGTATGCACTGAGTCACCAGAGAAACATATTTCCAGCAGCCTGGTGAGAACTGGGGGCCGCACGGCTCCGGTCCGCTGGTTTTTATACTGTGATGCTGGGAACTCTGGGGTGGCTTGGACCGCTCCCAGAAGCAACTCAGGGGTTTGCATGGACAGGGCTGAGTGGTGGCGGGCAGGGCCAGCTGGAAGGAACCTCTGCCTACAAATGTTCCAGATGTCAGGGATGCAAAAGAGCCTTTTTAAAAAATTCTTGAGACTTTAAAAATAGAACAGCAAGTTAGAAACGGCTGCTAGTTTAGCCACCTCAATTCTTAAAGGAGACGGGGGCCGGAAGACA